CCGAAAAATCGCAAAAAAAGAAGATATCTAGAAGTAAGAACCACCAAAAATTCTTAACCCTAAAATCCCATGATTCTAATCTTCCCAAAAACCTCAAGAATCTGAAAATTCGAAATCCCCAAAACGCGATTCCTCCAATTTTCCAGGGTGTTGACGTCAGTGAAGCATCTCCACATATCCGTAAGAAGCCAACACTCCACAAATGTGAGTACTGTGGTCGTGTGGACAAATACCCATCGAAAATCCGTGCCCACATGCGAACCCATACCGGCGAAAAGCCATTTAAATGCGAGATTTGTGGAATGGAATTCAGTCAGAAGACTCCGCTACGACTACATTTACGACGTCATCTGGATCAGAAGCCGTATGAGTGTGATGTGGATGGATGCAGAGAGCGATTCGTGTCGGGAGCGATTCTCAAGTTGCACATTGAGAAGAAACATTTGATGAAGAAAAAGTGAGTTTTTAAAAGGATTTGGAGAATTTTGGATTCCAAAAAGTCGATAATTTTTGAATTTATTGCAACAAACTGTGCAGAAATGCATGTAGATTGAAATAAAAATAAAGAAAAATATAATATAATATATATTTATTTGCAATGCATGGGGGAAATAGATAGATAATTTGGCAAGAAATGGGAACTAATTCAAAAAAAAAATTCAAAAAAAATTCATCAAAATGTGCAGAAATGCATGTAGATTGAAATAAAAATAAAGAAAAAATTCAAAACAAAAATTCCTTCATCGAGAAAAAACGCATCGAAAAATAGACTGAAAGCCCTTAGGGACGAGCTTTTTCCGCTTGTTTTTCTAGTCCACCCGATGAGTAAATGCGCGCGGATTCAAACTTTTAAACTGCTTAACTGTTTTCTATCGTTTTCACTGTTTTTTCAGGTTTTCCGGTGTATCTGGGAGAAAAATTAACAAAAACCTTGAAAAAACAGTGAAAACGAAAGAAAAACACTTTTAAAAGTTTGAATTCGCGCGCATTTACTCACCGGGTGGCCTAGAAAAACAAGCGAAAAAAGCTCGTCCCTAAGGGCTTTCAGCCTATTTTTCGATGCGTTTTTCTCAATGAAGGAATTTTTATTTTGAATTTTTTCTTTATTTTTATTTCAATCTACATGCTTTTCTGCACATTTTGATGCAATCAAAAATTTCATGCGTACACTACCTTTAAAAGGATTTGGAGAATTTTTGATCCCAAAAATCGATAATTTCTCAGTAATTTAAGCCTATTTTTAGTCTAGTTTTAGAATATTTATAGCCGAATTTTCGCCTATTTCCAGCCTGTTTATAGTCTATTTTGAGTCTAATTTCAGCGTATCTCAACCCAAAAAATGGTGCCAAATTTTGGAAAAAATAGATTTTTCTAGATTAAAAAATAATAAAAATTCGTCTGAAATTTTCAAATTTTTTAAAAATTATTAGCAATTTTTGAAAGTTTCGACAATTTTAGACTCAAAAATTGATAATTTTCTAGTCTTTGATAATATATTTTGGTCTATTTCTGCCTATTTTTAGCCATAGAATTTTCTAGACTAAAAAATCCTAAAATCTGAAACAATTTCCAGATTCGTGTGTCATCGTGGCTGTGGTCGTGTGTTCTCATCGAGTTACAATATGAGACATCACGAGAAGAAGTGTCTAGTTCCAATGGAAACATATCATCAACAACATGCGATTGGTGATGAATCGATGAATGGAGAATATATTGATGAAGACGATGAAGAAGAGCTATTGGAGGAAGACGGAGGGGGCAGAGTCTATATGGACCACTTGGTAGGAAAAATCAGAAAAATCGGGCGGGAATTCACCTTGAAACATATTGAAATTCGATTTTTTAATTTTTCAAATATTTACAGATGGATCCATCAATCGTCGAACAAATTCCAATCGCCGAGCAGCACTTCGTCGAAGAGCCCGTTTTTCTTCATCAATAAATTTATTCATTTTTCTTGTTGCTGTTCTTTTTTTTTCATTTCAAAATTCCGAAATTTCTTGGTTTCAAGGCAATTTTTTCCGAAAAATTCGTATTTTTCACCTCTATTTTCTCCCTGATAATCACTATAATCACTATAATGAATAGGTCGTTTCTGTTTACTTTTCTCTTGTAATGAATATAAAAAATAAATGATCTTGTTTCAATTTTTAACCTTTTTTTGCACAATTTTCAGCGTTTGTCGCATTAAAACTGAAAGTTTGCAATTCCCATAGCAAAAATGCAACAAACACAACAAAAAATGTAAAAAAGACAAGAAAATATGAAAATTTCTTACAAGGGAACCATGTTTAGCCTTCATCTCAGAATTTTTTCGAAATTTGCTCATTTATAGTTTCAAATACGGGCTTTCTCGTGGTGTATTCGGTTTTCTGCACAAATTTCTAGGAGCCGAGAAAATTCCATCTGAAAATATGCTGTTTTTTTGGTCTCCTCCTTCCCTTCCACTTTCCTCCCTTTCCTCTATACATTCTCCACTGTGGAAAAAACGAGCAACAGTGGCTGAGTGGATAGTGGGGATGAATAGTAATCACAAGTTTGGGGTTCGATTCAGTCACTGTCCATTTTCTTTTTTCTTTTTTTTGAGGAATGCTTTGAACTTTTCGAAAATCAAAACTATGTTTACTCTATTATTTCAGTAGGAAAAAATCTCGAAAAAGATAATTTCTGAAAAATTCTTGAAGCACTGCTGAAAAGCCTTATCTACTCAAAATGTCAGTCGAAATCCCCCTATTTGATCATATTGATTGCGGAACTGTCATAAATCAGTCAAGTATGTCAATCTATGTTTTCACACTATTTGAGTGCTATTGGGTGATTTTCGAAGGACTACGATTCGTTGGAGTTTTGGAAGAGATCACTTATTTCGGATTTCAAAACGGATATCGGTTACAGAATCTTGTGAAAAGACTCATTTTATCATTTTTATGCGTTTAGAATTCATTTTAGCACATTTAAAATGTTTTCGAAAAATTGAAAATTTCGCAAAGGGCAAACCCATGGCAAAATTTTTTCAAAAAAATTGTTTTTTTGAAAAATGAGAAAACTTTGTCAGATTGTAGAGAAACTTCTAAAATTACGACTGTCATACAAAAAATGCCAAAAAACTCCCATTAACCCTTTCAAAAACTCACTCCAAAAGTGAGAAATTAGTACTGAAATCACTTAAAAAACCCATAACTCGACTTCTAGAAATTTGTGCAGAAAACCAAATACACCACAAGAAAGCCCGTATTTGAAACTATAAATGAGCGAATTTAGAAAAAATTCTGAGATGAAGGCTAAACATGGTTCCTTTGTTAGGAAATCAGACAATTTGAAATATTACAGTACTTCCCGTAAATCGACATTAAAGGCGCATACAATATATTGTCGTTTGAGTCTCGCCACGAAAAGAAATTTCAATGAATTTACAATGATTTTGGAATTTTTTCGAGAATTTTTCGAATAAACTGTTTATTAAGGATGAAAAATTCAAAAAAAATACACATGAGCTTAAATAGCAACACAATTAGAAATTCGAAGAAAAATTCGTCAAGTTTCGATTTTTGTCTCGAAACAACGAATTTCGGGGGTTCCCTCGTGAAGATCGTTCTGTAATGTACAATTTAAGAAAACAAACTTTGAAAATTAAAAAAATACGATAGAAAAAGCGAAAAATTAGCAAAAAATCGAGAATAATTGAGAGAAATCTGCAAAAAATAAATATTACAGTACTACTCGTAAATCGACATTAAAGGCGCATACAACAATATTATCGTATGAGTCTCGCCACAAAAAGAAATTTTCAAAAAATAACAGTAATTTGGCAGATTTTCGCTCGATTTCCCTTAAATTTTCACCGGTGTTTTGCTGCAAAATGGAGTCGGAAACCGATGAAAAACCTTGCAAAGAAAGCCAGTTGATTGAAAAAGTAATTTTTGTCACCTTTTTTTTTGCCTAAAATCGATTTATTCGCAGGGTCTTCCTCTAGACTGGCTAGTTCGTGCTCATTCGGCGAGAAACATGGAAACTCTGGTGTATTTGTATGATCAGCGACAGAAGTGGATCAATGAGGATCAAAAATTGATTTTGACTATTTTACAGGTGGATTTTTGTTCAAATAAAGATGGTTTCTTATTTTCCGGGGTTTCCAGGACTACGAGAATTCTGGCGCACCTCCAATCCCTGAAAACGAGCCACCGTTGCTTCGCAGACGACGTGGAAAAGTTGCAACATCTCCGGAATGTCCAAAAATCTTCATTTTCACCTGCCAACTTCTGGATCTCATCAAAGAGGAGCCGACGATTTGGGACAAGGTCAACTGTACGAATTTCGGTTATCACCAGCCGATGCGACAGGCGTGGTGCAGTATTTCGTTGAAATTGGGCGGTTGGGGAGCCATGCCGCATGTGCAAATGTTGAAACAGCTGTATCGAAGACGACGCGATCAATATAATATTGATCATTTGAGATTAGGAAAACCATTCGTTTATAGCGAGTGAGTTGGAGCTCAAAAAAGCTGAAAACCCCCTGAAAATGGCCTAAAATCCCAAAAAATCGAAAAAAGCAGCATTTCTGAATTTGTATTTTTCCGGAATTTTTGAAAAAAAAATCGATTTTCAGTCTTTCAATATTGAAAAAACGCTGAAAAAATCCTTAAAAATTGGCTAGAAAATCCTAAAAATCGATTTAAAAAATGTCCTAAAACGAGAAATTTGAAAAAAAATTGATTTTCAGCGATTTTATGATCGCAAATGACCTGAAATCCTAAAAAATCGATAATCGAATTTCAGAAAACTCTCATTCCTGAAGAATATTCTGGAAACTGCGAAAAGTGACACGTGGAGTTCGGAAATCAGTCTCGCCGATCACATTGAAGCTTGCGAACCGAAAATCGATTACGAGGAGGAGCTGAAGGAGGCGCCCGAGTTTGTGCAGCGTATTATAAGGTGCAAAATTTTAATTTTTAAGCAAAACATTTGACGAAAAATCGGTCAAACGGAAAAATCGAGATTTGCGCCAAGGAAACCTGCTTGGCGCGTTTCGCGTGCCCTTGGCGCTTTTTTCGCAACATTCGAATTTTCGGGTTTTCAGCTCGTTTTTCGGCTTTAAAATGGGAAAAATGGTGTATAGCATGAAAAATCCCAAAATTTTCAGTGAAATCTCCTCTCGAATCGATCAAGTCTCCGCCCAGCACTCGCCGGAAACGCTGGCTCACTATCTAACCAAATGTTGTAATCAAACCGTCGCCAATCGCGAACGTCTCGCTGTTTCGGAACTTTTCGAGGAGCCAGTGGAGCAGAAAGTTCCAGAAGAATCAAAATTTGAAAATACTTAATTTTTCTGTGATTTTGTACATTTTGAGACAATTTATGAGCACTTTTTTTGTAATTTCGAATTTTATATGCATGTTTTTGTTGTAATTCTTTAAGTTTTATTGGAATTTTTCTCGAAAATCACTTTGAAATATATCGATTTTCACGAATTCTAGCTGATTTTATCGACATTTTAGGTCATTTGTAGGGATTTTTCAGCCGTTTTCCAAATTCGAAAAACCGGAAATCGATTTTTTTCAAGAATTCCGGAAAAATACAAATTAGGCAGTGAAATGAGTGTTTTCTGGAAATTCGATTATCGATTTTTAGGATTCAGGTCATTTGCGAGCATAAATTCACTGAAAATCGAATTTCATTTACTCGTTTTAGAACATTTTTTATCGATTTTTAGGCAATTTTAAAATGATTTTCAGTCAATATTGAAAGACTGAAAATCGATGTTTTCTCAAAATTTTCGAAAAAGTACAAATTCAGAAATGCTGCTTTTATCGATTTTTGGGATTTTAGGTCACTTTCAGGAGGTTTTCAGCTTTTTTGAGCTCCAACTCACTCGCTACAAACGAATGGTTTTCCCAATCTCAAATGATCACTATTATATTGATCGCGTCGTCTTCGATACAGCTGTTTCAACATTTGCACATGCGGCATGGCTCCCCAACCGCCCAATTTCAACGAAATACTGCACCACGCCTGTCGCATCGGCTGGTGATAACCGAAATTCGCGCAGTTGACCTTGCCCAAATCGTCGGCTCCTCTTTGATGAGATCCAGAAGTTGGCAGGTGAAAATGAAGATTTTTGGACATTCCGGAGATGTTCCATCCTTTCCACGATAAATTTTTAAAAATTCGAGAAATGTCCAATTTTTCACCCCCTCTCCCACCTGTTCCTGATCATTTTTCCCCTGAAAAAATCTCCGAGAACATTCGTTCTTCTTCTTCTTTTTCCTTTTTTCAACATATATATTTTATATGTATCTCGTTAAACGATCACCTGGGGGCTAGGCGACACACACAAAAACCCGATTATCGGTTTTTTTCTCCATTCGTATATCCTTTTTCCTTTTTTTTCGGAAGAAACATATATAGGACAAGAGAAGAAAAATTACAAAAGGAACATTCGAAAGTGAACATTTATATGAGAAACAAGCGAAGGAAAAACTTGGGGAATTTCTTGGGAAAAATGAAATGTATGGTCAAGAAAAATGGAGACAAATAGTCTAGAAATCGGTTTTTTTAATGAAAAATTCAAAAAATATATTTAAAATGATTAGAAGAAAGGGTTTTCCGAAATTCGATGTGAGCGCGCTCTGTTGAGAAAAGCAAAAAGGCGGCGGTTCAAAAATGATTTTTCGGCGATTTTCTTGATTTAAAAGAGTTCTGTACTAAAAATACTACTTTTAAAGGAAAATCGACTAAAAATGAATAAAAATTGACGATTTTTCCAAAAAATTGATGCAAACGCGCTCTGGTGAGAAAAAAAAAGAAAAAGCGGTAGTTCAAAAATTACTTTTTCAATTTTCTTGAATTAAACATGTTCTATATGGAAAAATATCATTTTTACAGAAAATTCAACTGAAAATACAGAAAAAATGGATTTAAATGATAAAAATTGAGGATTTACCGAAATTCGATGCAAACACGCTCTGGTGAGAAAAACAAAACAAGCAGCAGTTCAAAAAATGATTTTTTCGAAGGTTTTTCCTGATTTAAAAGATTTCTGTACAAAAAATTGTTATTTTTACAGAAATTTCAACAAAAAATACGGAAAAATAAATTAAAATGATTAAAATTGATGATTTTCGAGACCCCGGTTGTTGCCGTGAATGCTCGCACCTGATAGCTGCGCGCTTCCACGTGGCATATCTCATTAAGGTGCGTTTGCTCAAATATGTTGTCAATTATTAAAATGTAGCTCTAGTTTTGTTTAGTACCCTCTAGAATTTTTAGACCAATCCAAGAAGTTTCAAGAGCTTTTGTAGGGGCTCTAAAATAGTGTTC